CTGATTTTTTGATTTATTGTAGAGATGAGGTCTTGCTGCCCAGGTGGGTCACGAACCCGTGGGCTCAGGCAATCCACTCACCTCAGCCTCCCAAAGGCGCAGGATTACAGGCTGAGCCACCGAGCCTGGCTCGTAAGTGCTCTTTTTAATAGCTTGGAACAAGGTTGAATTCTATGTTAATGGCCTACTGACTGTGGTCACTCACTAACTCGCCCCATAAGCAAATGACTTATAGCTCTGTCCTAGCAACCAAACTTGCAACTAAAGCTGCGAGGTCTTCAAGGAAGAAGGATAAATGATATAAACCCTTAAGAGGTAGATAGAAGCCAAGGGTGGTGGCTCATGCCTATAATCCCAGCACTTTGGGAGGCCGAGGCGAGAGGATTGCTAGAGCCTGGGGGTTCAAGACCAGCCTGAGCAACTTGGTAAGACCTCGTCTTTACAATAAATCACAAAAACTAGCCGAGTGTGTGCCTGTAGTTCCAGCTGCTTGGAAGGTTGAGGCAGAAAGATTGCCTGAGCCCAGGAGGTTGAGGCTGCGGTGGCTGTGAGTGTGCCACTGCAACTCCAGCATAGGTGATAGTGAGACACTGACTAAAAAAGTAGATAGAAAACCAGGATAAGGGAGAGAATGAGAAATAGAAAAGGCTAAGAACAGGGACCTAGGACATCTGACAGCTCATAAGCCCAACAGCTACTGGGTCTTGTGACCAGGTCACTGACTGTGTTCTTACCAGGATCAGGACCAGAACCCAGATGGTGATGAGTTGAGTTGAAGGAGTTGACAAAAAGCAGGTGTCAGCCTTCCTGGAGGTTACTCCAGGGGCAAAGGTAGCAGGTGTGAACTTCCCAGCCATGTCAGCCTCCTGAACTTGACCATAAGCCGGGCCAGTGATTCTGGAGGCAGCATCGCCTAGAGGGCTTATTGAAATAGATTGCAGGGCTCTAACCCCAAGGTCTCAGTCAGCAGGTCTAGTGGGAGCCTAGTCTCTGCTATTCCTAACAAGTGCCCAAGTGATGCTAGTGCTGCCAGTTCAGGAGTCTCACCTTGATACCCTAAGCTAGAAAGCCTAAGTTGAGATTGCCTGAGCCCGCGGGTTCGAGACCCGCCTGGGCAGGCGAGACCTCATCTCGACAAATCAAAAAATTAGCCGGGTGTGGTAACGCGCGCCTGTAGTTCCAGCTACTCGGAAGGCTGAGGTGGAAGGATTGCCAGAGCCCAGCAGGTCGAGGCTGCGGTGGCTGGGAGCGGCCACTGCACTCCAGTCTGGGTGATAGTGATACTCGAACTCAAAAAAAAAGCCTAAGTTGACACTAAGGGGGATAGAGAGGGGAACTGCACGTGCGGACTGCTCCTGATGGCTGAGGCAGAGAGGGATGGGATGGAAAGCATGGATGCAAAGACTGGCCTCTAGCCAGAAAGTGCTGGTAGCCCCTTAGAAGTAAAAAGTTGCTTTTAAGCAAGTTACCTGAGGGGACATGGAGTGTGAACTTAGGATAGCTGACCAGGAAGAGATGATCAAAGCAGGTGTTTTCAGTGCTGGCTCTTATTTATCACCTGAAAAGATCATAAAAATACTGATGCTTGTAGATGTTCCCATATACTTAACGGGTGGGGCCCAGCATCACCTAACAATTATGAAAATCTTCAAACTTGTTTAACAGCAAACACCTAAGTACCTACCATCCAGGTTCTACCATTAGCATTTTATCATCCTTCTACCAGGCTATCCTGTTTTACTTGGAAATGCGTAAAAAGCCACTTAAACTCCCAGGTGATTCAAATAAACAGCCAAGTTGGCAAACCACTTAAAGCAGAGGCTTATGTCTGGACAGCACTAAGGGACACAGTGCGAATTCATCAACGCCTCTATTGATGTCCCCTCGCCTCCTCCAGCAGCCTTGCCGTGAGAAAAGGAAGTTCAATACAGATGGTTAGGTTGCAAGAGGGACAAGAATCTAAGATCTTGATGAGATGGCCCGAGGCTCTCCATGGCAGATTCTGGTTGAATGAGGCTGGGGAGAAGAGAACAGACTTGGAGAAAGAGACCTGGTCTCCAGATGGGTGAACCTTGTGGATCCTAGGGTAGAGGACCCTGGTTGGGGTAGGGAGTTAAGGTTGATGGTGGAGGCTTCATGTGGGTGGTAGCCATCAGCATGGGTACCAATGGAGCTGGTTTCTGCATGTTTGAGGGGGTAACTAAGACCAGGGGACAGTGCTGCTCAAGGGAAGGTTGTCTGAGCCCTTGGAGGGCTCTCCATCAAGGGCGGGAGGGATGGCTTGGCAGACTGTGGCCGTAGCACAAGGCAGAAGGAATGGCCTTCTTTATAGAGCATTAGGGGAACCACCTGGGATCTTAGGTTCCAGGTAACACCAGAAGAATGTACTGGGAGGATGCTAAGGGTAGAAGCATTTCCCCTTGAAGGAAGAGACATTGAAGTGCCTGGAATCTTCTCTCTTCTTGGGTAGATAAACAAGCAGCTGGGTCCATCCTGGCTTGCTAAAAGGTCTGAATTTACATGGCTTTGTTTCCGAAATGGTTTTTCTACCGGTATGCCTGGCCGCTAGGTGGTAGCCAAGGCTTGTGGCTCTGTATAAGGTTTCAGCTAGAAGGTGACAGAATTTCCCTGCCTCTCCGGAGTTGAGCAAGGAGAGGGGTTGAAGCATATGAAGGGAAGCGATGAGCTGGGACCAAACTGTGCCCTGGCTCTGTCAAAGTGGCCCCTACCCAGCCGGGCTCAGTGGCTCAGCCTGTAATCCCGCGCCTTTGGGAGGCTGAGGTGAGTGGATTGCCTGAGCCCGCGGGTTCGAGACCCGCCTGGGCGACGAGACCTCATCTCTACAATAAATCAAAAAAATCAACTGGGTGTGGTAGCGTGCACCTGTAATTCCGGCTACTCGGAAGGCTGAGGTGGAAGGATCGCTGGAGCCCAGCAGGTCGAGACTGCGGTGGCTGGGAGCGGCCACTGCACTCCAATCTAGGTGACAGAGTGAGACTCCGACTCAAAAAAAAAAAAAAAAAAAAAAGTGGCCCCTACCCTAGGAGGTAGGATGGGATTAGAAGGCTCGTTGGGACAGTTGACTTCTCAGCCGGGTAGAGCCCTCGACTCCTGGCAGGAAGACACATTCCTTACCTGGCACTCGCTAGACAAGGATAGGTAAGCGGCACTTCCCAGAGGCCAAGACTGTGCCAGGGCACCAGCCTGGGGCTGTCTTCCGGTTCTCATATCACGAGCAGGTGACAAGAGACTGACCTAGGGACAGACTGACAGGAGACACTTGGGCATGAGGAAGGAGAGAAACTCAAGGATACTTGCCCAAGGGAGTTAACCAGGAGGCTGACCCTTCAGTCTGAAATGGGAACTTCAAAGGCACTAGTCCGGAAGGTTTCCATGTTCTCAAGGACCTTGGGTCAAAGTAATGGCTTGTTCCCTTTCCTCAGCAGGAAAAAGAGGCCATAATCCAAAGACCACATCCCTGAGAGTAGAGGTTTGTCAGTCAAGTGACAGGTGGCGGTGTTGGGAACCCAGCTAAGCTGCCCGCTAGTAAGGTGTCCACCACTGATTCGGTCACCTGGGAGGGTGGTGATTTAGCGATGTTCTGTCTCTGCCCCATCGCTGCGATTCTGACTTAATAAGCCCAGGATCTAGCCTGCACAGTGGTTGGGCAAGTTTGGGAAAGGTTGGGAGAATAAAGAGGACGGATTCCAGCCCAGAATGAGATTTGCTATTTGCTCTGCAGTTTGGGGCAAGCTATCCTCTGGGTCATTTTAGAGATGGGGCTCTTTCTCCTCCTTAATTTCCTAAGGAAATTCTTAATTTCCCTAAGAATTACGATGAACCATAGCTTGGTAGACTTCCTGCACAGCCTAGAACCCAACCTAGTAATAGCTGTTATTTCTTTCAGATATATATCACCTGCCATCTGAAGGTCACTCTGGCTGACCAGGACCCAGACCAACTCAACAAAGCCTGCTCCTTCAGCGAGTATTCTAAGAGGTGAGGAGGCAGATTCTGTGTGACTGAAGAGTTCCCTGATTGGCTACACCTTGTGTCTGTTCCCCTGTTTGCAAACTGCTACCAGTGGGTAACACACACCAAAGCTGCTTGTCTTTCCCTCTCAGCTGGTTCCCGGTGGAAGGCCCTGCTGACATCTGTGAGTGCTGTAACAAAGGTGACTGTGGCCTTCCAGGCCACTCCAGGAGGCAACCCGGTGTCATGAGCCAATGGCCCAGGTCTACTTCCCGCAACCGCAGGCATGGTATGTCATGGATGGCCACTGGGCTATTTATTGTGTCCAGGGTACCTGCTGTCAGTTCAGGGTGACATTCTTCACCCTTGTCCCCCCACTAAAATTATCCCCAGGGAAATGCGGTCTCAGACCTTCTAACACAGAAATTTGGGGGCCAGGCAGGGGGGGCTCTGAGCCCCTACTCCACTGGCAGCTAGGATAGCTCTGCTTTTGTGGGTTTAAAAAAAAAAAAATAGAATCCGGCTGGGCTTGGTGGCTCAGGCTGTAATCCCACACTTTGAGAGACCGAAGGAAGAGGATTGCCTGAGGCCGCAGGTTCGAGACCAGCCCGGGCAACTTGGCGAGACCTCATCTCTTCAATAAATCAAAAATTAGCCGGGCATGGTAGCGTGCACCTATAGTTCCAGCTACTTGGAAGGCTGAGGCGAGAGGATTGCCTGAACCCAGCAGGTCAAGACTGCAGTGGCTGTGAGTGTGCCACTGCACTCCAGCCTGGGCGACGGAGTGAGACTCCAACTCAAAACAAACAGAAACAACCACCCCAAAAATAGACTCCATAGTGAAAGCTCTATTATCCTGAGCTTCTACTGAGACATAATGGCTGTGTTATTCTCCCGACATGCCCAGCTAAGAAAAACCTGTAACGATAATGCTTTGAGAGGCTGAGGTAGAAGGATTATTTGAGATCAGCCTGGGCAGCATAGTAAGACCTCATCACTACAAAATAAAAATTAGCCAGGCATGGTATGTGTCAGTAGTCCCAGTTACTCGAGAGGCTGAGGCAGAAGGATTGCCTGAGCCCAGAAGGTCAAGGCTGCAGTGAGCTGTCACTGTGCTACTGCACTCTAGCCTGGGCAACAGAATGAGACCTTGACTCTTTAAAAACAAAACAAAAAACACCTGGTTTCTGGTTAGGGACCAAGGTGACCCTCAAATCTTCTATTTTGTCCACAGTGACAGAAGAAGCAGACGTCACCGTGGGACCGCTGATCTTCCTGGAAAGGGCTGGTGACCGCGATGTGGAAGTAGAAGGCTGTACCTCTCCTGCTCATACCTCTGTGGTGTTGGGCATAGGCCTGGCAGTGCTGGTGTCCTTGACCCTGGCTGCTGTTGGCCTGGGTCTCGCCAGGTGGTGTCGTGCTGCTTCCCACCCTGTGTCTATCTCCCAATAAAAGAAGAAAGCGATCTCTGTTGCAGTGACTGCGGACGGTCAGAACTGGGGCTGGCTGCGTGAGGGCAGGGTTGACCATAACCCAGACCGTGGGCTCACACAGCACAGTTCAGCAGAAGCTGCGTGCCTCTAGTGAGTCTGTCTGTCAAGACTGGGGCAGGGCTCACTTTCCCAGGGCGGTTATAGTCATCTGGTGCCACTATGGAGGCCACGCTGGAAACTCCTGAGGACAAAAGCAAGGGGACCCCGCCAGCCTGACTTCTAGGTTAGCAAATAAACTTGTACCTCTGGGCCCCACAGATCTGTTTCCAGATATGGGAGCAGGGAGGAGAGAGGACTTCTAGGCCTTCTTCCCTGGTTTGGCAGGCAGCAAAAACTCTGTCCAGGTAGCTAGAGGCCCGCAGGACAGTACTGACTGGGTCCCCACAATGGGGCAGTGATCTGAGCTCTGCCATCTGCCTGGTCTCAGCCATCGTCTTGGTCTGAGGATGCTCTTAAGGTGTGCATTTGGGGTGTGAACCTGCCACAGCTCTGTCACAAGCTCTGAGGTAGGTAGGTCCCTTTGCTTCGGGATAGGAGGCCTCAGGAGGGATGGTACCTGCTTTGGCTGCCCCATCACCAAGGGGAGCTGCTTTTCAGCTTCCCTCATATCCACATTCTCCCCAAATAGGCTGCCCCCCCGCTACATCCTGGCCATAGCTCCTAGAAGTACTTAGTAAGAGAATGGTAGCTGGGCTCGGTGGCTCAGCCTGTAATCCCGTGCCTTGGGAAGCTGAGGTGAGTGGACTGCCTGAGCCCGTGGGTTCGAGACCCGCCTGGGCAGCGAGACCTCATCTCTACAATAAATCAAAAAATTAGCCGGGCGTGGAAGCGCGTGCCTATAGTTCCAGCTACTTGGAAGGCTGAGGCAGAAGGATCACTGGAGCCCAGCAGGTCGATGGTGCGGTGGCTGGGAGCGACCACTGCACTCCAGACTGGGTGACAGAGTGAGACTCCAACTCAAAAAAAAAAAAAAAGCTGCTGGGGTCTCCAGGGAGCTTGACCCCCTCTCCAGGAGGATGTGGTCACATTTCCTCTGCCACTGGGTGTGAAGTCCCCTACCATGAGGGAGCCCTAACTGGTTCTAACCTTGCCCCAGACCCAAGTCATTCCCGTTCTCAGTGGGTGCAGGTCACCTTCACTGCAGCAGCTCAGCTTGGCTAGCTGTCTGCTGTGAGCTTACCAGGTCTCATGGGCAACATGGGGGCTGGTACCTGCTGGGCAGGGTTGTTGGGCTTAAATGAATCAAAGCCAAGGACGCTTGGATGGAGTAGCTAGGGTGGGTCTGTATCTCTGGCCTGGAGTCTGAGGGCAGAGGCTCTGATGTATTGTCCCAGGTGCATGTAGTATATTCAGAGCAAGGTTTCATGTGGCTCTGGGTCTACTGAGAATATGAAGCCCCTTGATACTCCAAGTGTGGTCAGCAGACACCGTGGGTATTTCCTGAGAATTTGTTGAAAATGTGGGATTTGGGGCTCTGTTCCAGATCTAAAAATCTGCCTTGTAAGTTCCTGGGAGACTCGGGTGGTTAAAGTGCATTGGGATTTGCAGCCAAAGCAATCTTCTGAATGCTCCCAGCCTAAGCAGCTTCTGGTGTGCTGTGTCGGAGAGGAAAAGACTGGGGTTTGGGAAGGTGAGCTTCCTGGAGGTGGTAGTCCTAGAGCGAGTCCTCAAAGAACTGTGGGGGAGGTGAGTGAGGGGAAAACCTGTGTCCTGGGGGCATAGAGAGCCTCAGTCTCCAGCAAAGGGTGGCACTTTGGTTGGAAAGGGGGCATCTTGGGCCAGATAGGGGAACTGCTGATGGCCTCAGGGCAGGCATACACCAGTGGCATGACCTTCCCTGTCAAAAAGATCAGAATGGCAGACAACACGGCCTGGAGGCTAGGAGAAGTCCCTGGAGCCAGACTTCTGGGTCCTAGTCCTGCCACTTGTTAAAACTTTTTTTGAAAAATGAGGTCTTGCTATGGTGCCCAGGCTGGCCTCAAACTCCTGACTCAAGTGATCTTCCTGCCTTAGCCTCATAAGCCGTTGAGACTAGTTATGCATGACTCCGTCCATCTTCTTCCTGCCGCTTCTAGCTTAGCAGGTGACTTTATCAAAAAGGGGACGGAGGGACTGTTGGAGTTGAATGAGTACAGCACTTGGTAGGATCTTGGTCTATGCAACAAGACTCTGGCTAAGAGCCAGGCTTGGGGTCCGATGGCCAGGTCTACCCCTGACTGAGCATGCTTCCTTCTCTACGTAGCGTCCTCTCAGTTGCGGGGCTTCTTTCCATAAGGGTTATGATGAGGATTAAATTAAGCTTGATCTTGTGACATTTGGTATCTAGCATGTATTTGGTCGGAGCTGTTCTGTGAGCTAATGCTACTCCCAGGACATGCGGGGAGATTGTTCCTCCGACGAGCAGCCATCTGTTCCTTGCCCTCAAGTTCCTGGTGTTACAACATCCTGAGAACTTGTCCTTCGTTCAACTTCTGTTCTCAGAAAGAGAAAGTGGGTGGCCAGGCTCGATGGCTCAGCCTGTCATCCCAGCATTTTGGGAGGCCAAGGCGAGTGGATTGCCTGAGCCCACGGGTTTGAGACCAGGCTGGGTGACTTGGTGAGACCTCATCTCTACAATAAAATTTAAAAGATAGCTGGGCATGGTAGTGCGTGCCTATAGTTCCAGCTACTTGGAAGGCTGAGGTGGAAGGATTGCCGGATCCCAGCAAGTCGACACTGGGGTGGTGGTGAGTATGCCACTGCACTCCAGCCTAGGCAACAGAGTGAGACTCCAACCTAAAAAAAAAAAAAAAAA